TAAATGACAAACTCTGCGTGCTTCAACAGGTTTTCTTTGTTTTGGCTTGGTTTCTTTGTTTTATTTCCTACCTTCCACTAAAATAATTTTTTATCTCAGAGAGAGAAAATACTGGAGGTGGGCTGCTTCCTACCTGACTTCCCAGCATTGCCTGGCAGAAGCTGGTAGACATGAATCATCACAATGAATGCAATACTGCACACAAGTAGCTTTTCTTACAAGCACAAGGTTGTTAAGCAAAGGATGAGAAACACGTGGAGTACACTGCAGTTTGCTAATGTATGGCTGGGTTCCCAGGTCTGTGTACATTCTTGCAGACAGGCTGCAGTTGTCATGATGCTATTGCCAGGAAAGATGTCAACAAAAGGAGACCTCTTGTCAGTTAAAGCATTAGGTTAGCAATACAAAAGAGTACTTTATGGAGTCTTTCAGATCGATACACACCATCTGTTTGTCAAAGATGTTTTTCTCTTATGTGTAGTCATACAGCCTCTTTGATGTAAGTCACCGCTTTTTAAATGTTTTTAAATAACAGCAATATTTACTATGTGGTGAATTGGAGCAATGAGCAAGATCATAGGATCCTCTTGCAGAGGATCATGACTTAAAATTTGTGTGTTTTAGGCAAAGCATTTCTGGATTCACTTGAAGACTGACACATGGACATGTTTCCATTGAAGTTGCTACAGGTTTGTCTTTATGTATGCCTCCACTAAATTTTATAGCTGGCAATTAGTCTGGGATGAAGTCTGGTTCTCTCCCAGCACCGCAAATGCAATTGTGTAACTTCACTAGAATTCCAAGCCTTGTTCTTATGCTGGATTAAAACAGTAGATAGTGAGATGAAAAGAGAAGTCACCCTTTCAAACTCCTCTTTCCCACTGTGACAGCTTACTTCATGGAAGCAGCAGCCATCTGCCCTGGATTACTTTTGGTTTGTGTTTAATGAACACCACATTCCCCTAGTGTTGCCACTGCTCCAACAGCAATACCCTGCCCTGTGCAAAGTCTACTGTTGCCCAGGGGCTTGTATCTCCCTGCCCTCAGCTGGCACCATGACACTTCCCATGCTACCTCTGAAGTGTGTGGAAATTGTAGAATAGCGGTCATGGTGGCACTGATGCACTGGGAAAGGATGTCACATATTTAAAATCTATTTACTGAAATGTTGCTCCAAGGTGGGAAGGGATTTCCCCCTTCAGCTGTTGCTACAGGTATGATTGTCCCACAGCATAGCACAATGCCATCTCAGTTTAAGTGCATCATCTATGAGCTGTCTGGCCCATAGGATTTTTTTTTTCCCTTTTCTTGTCAATTATTGACTGGAGAGATGAAGAATGACACACGCTTAAGTGCATCAGTTATCTCAATTTCTTCCACCTTAGGCCTAGCTTAGCCAAGATTTACCAGAACAGTCTACAAAATGAAGAAGTTTCAGGTTTGTTTTTTTTTTCAGGTGACAGGAGCTTTCTTCAGAAGACCGACAAAAGGACTGGAGCACAGTGAGTTATTATTACAACCACTTATTAAAAAGACAAAAGAACATGCTGTAAGACAACAAATAATATAATCTGACTTGTGCAATGCAGTAACTTCTCAGTGCTACAAAAAACATCAGGGACGAATACAGTCCTGAACGCACAGTCACAAAGCCGTTCCAAATTGCAACTGTGAGCACCCATATGAGTTCAACAGAAAAAGGTAAGATATAGTACTTTAAGCACATGACTTCGATAATTCTTTAGTTTGAAGCCAGGGATAAGTGATAGGCTGGACATTCCCGCCAGGGAAATAGGCTAGTTACATCAGAATGGGTTACCCTTTGCTATTCAACATCTCAGCTCCCTAGTTACCATCTCCAAACTAAGGTGTTTGCCTCAGCACATGGTTGTTTACACAGTGACTTATCTTACTTTGGTGAGATATTTGATACCCATAAAACATCCATCACACTCTGTCCTACTGCTTTTCTTTAACACAAGGCAAGGCCCATCCCTCTTCCAAACGTTTGACAGCTTTGAAATATGGCAGTGTTGGCATTGGTGTAGCTCAGGGGCTGTGCAGTGGTTGCTTTCTCCAGAGGCTCTGCAACACCTCGGTACTTCCACCTCTTTGAATAGAGGTGGCAAAATCCATAATTTGTTTCCATGCTGCTTGGCTGGAAATGAAGAGAAATTTGGCACCCTTTCATGGAGATAGTTAAGTGAAGAGTCAATACAATGAAGGTCTTTGCACCAGAAGTAGCCCATAATAGGTGGTGGCAATGTCACAGCTCTGCTTGTTTTTTAATATAGCTTTTTTTTTTTTTTTTTTTTTCCTCTTTCATGTGTGTGTTTTTTTCCCTCTGGGTGGAGCAGAGCTGGGGAGGTGATGACTTACCTGCCACAGCTCGGTAGATCGCAATCTGGAACTGGCAGAGTGTTAACACAATGCCCCAGCAGAGCTTTTCTGTCTCTAATTTCAATTATTATGTTGTTACTGGATCAGTGAAGAGAAGCATGAAAAACACAATTACCAGGAAGCCCTGTTCCTTTGCTTGCCCCTTTGTCTCACTGCGAACGGGGCATGTGACTCACGGAGCAATAGAGGACCGGCTGTAATCTCACGCACTACCGAGAAGGGTGCTGTCCGCCGATGGGATCCAAGCGTGGGAAAGCCTGACTGCTGGCTGGAAGGGCCAGTCACGTCATGTTTTGCAGCTGGCATCCAAATGCATCCTGATGAATCGAGTGAGAGCAGTTACCTTCTCCTGCCACGACGGTGGCCAAGCAGCCGTGCAGAAGAGGGGCTGTAAAAACCTCCCCGCACGCAAAAGCACAGGCAAGGGACGATGTTGTGAATGAGTTTACTGTGACAGCACAGCAGTGCTTTATAGGCAATGTTTTACTGGCATAACATCAGACTAAAGGGAGAGGGGATGGGTATCTTTGAGTTGTGAATGCTGGTCCCAGGTTTGCTCAGTGCGGGACCATGGTTAGTGGGCCAGACCCGAACCTGTTATGCGATGCATAGTGGAAATAGAGAAATCCACTTGCTCTCTGCACTCCAAATCATGTACAAAGCTATGACCTCAAGAACAAATACCAGTACCAGCAGAGCAGCCAATATTTTTATCATTAATTGCTATCAAAAATGTCAGCTCAAAGTCATCAGATTTGATAGGTGAGCATGCTCCAAACTGATGGCTGAAGTGAATTATTTGCCTATTGCGTGATGCAAAAACAATGTCTTGCAGGAGAGAACAGACATTGGCAAACAAACTGACAAGAAGATATACTTCTGGGGAAGGCTTCTGATTTGATCTGGAAGGAAACATTGAGTATAAATAGGGAGAAAGTTTACCTGAATGAAAGGCGGGGTTCAGCCATGGCTTGGACTTCCTTGCTCTGCTGGAGAACAGTGTGAAACCTACCTGCTATTTTACTCCCTCTGAGCTGTTCTCATTACAAAAAGGTACCAGACACCTCAGAAAGTTTTTAAAGTAATAAAGCATTTTCTCCCCCCCATCCCTGGTGCATCAAATTTATCAGTGACTAATGAGCACATAAATTGCAGGATGTGAAGAAAAATCCCTTCATGTTTCAGAATTTTCCCTGCCTATGGAACTGCAGCACAAATCTTTCTGGTCTTTCTGTGCTGAGGGTCTAGGCATGGGCAGACAGTACACGGTGCAGCACTGGCACACTATTAATATAACTAGTAGGTGCTACAAAGTGAATCAGAACCTGTTTAAACACTGGTATAACCATGCAGAATATCATCCAGGACATGTTCCTGTGGGATTTGGTGACTGTCTTTATTTTACATAGCGGGAAAAACCCCATCTGGAAGCAGGATTCCAGCGAAGGGAAAGTTAGCTATGCTTGCCAGGGATCTCTTTTGCCCCCAAAAATTCAGGCATCATGGGACATAAGCAGAAAATGAAAGGGAACCAGCAAGGGGAAAACCAAACAGGCTGGGGTCTTCTTGCCACTTCTTTTGAAGTCCCCAGTGTAACTCCTGGCATCTTCAGTGGGGTTTGGCTGGGGTCTGTGCAGAAGCGCCTTTGAAGATTTTGCTAAGGCTCAAGGCCTTGATCATGGCAACTTTTATGCCTGCGAGCAACTCTGTGCAGATGAGCACTTCCACGGTGCTCAGCAGGATGCTTCGGATGAGACTTTGCAGGGCCGGTCTTAAGCAATGAGAGCTTAAGAGAAACATTCTGCTTGTCGTGCTTTTATCCTTGACCACATCAAATGAAATGCCTTGGCAGTTTTGGAAGAACGAATTTGCATTGAAAACCCACAGCTCTTACAAGCAGTGCATTAATTATTTTATTAATTTGCTCTTTTTACATTATGGGAAACATTCATCTATTTACATTTTCCTGTCCACACACAAACCAGATAGATAATCCTATGGAAACCCAAATCATTAAGCCATAAAAACACTCTCCTCTGTCTAAAGGCTTTCATATTTGTGTCTTTTGTTTCAAATCAAAAACATTTTTAAAATCACATTTGGGAATGCAGGTAGGCCAGTGATTTACATTCTACTTAAAATATGCATTTGACCATTTTCCTTAAAAAAAAAAAACAAAACAAAAAACCAAAACCCCCAATAAATTCACAAAGATACACTTCAAATTAAAGTGATAGTGCACATCAAAGCATTAAGGGAACACCAATAAATAAACTGAAATATATTACAAATAAATTATTTCTATTTACCTTTTCAAATATTAAAAATCTTTAATCCATTTCTTCATCTTTCTTTACAAAAAGATTATGAGAATTTTATGGAAACATCTGCAAAAAATATAATAAATACCTCTTTTTTTTTGTTTTTTAACTTTTGAAGCAGGAAACAAAACCAACCTTTTCTAAAATTTCTCCCAAGGAAAAAAAAAGCAATAGTTTAGTCCCAAAGTGAAACAGAATATAGGCATTTTTAATATACACTGGGCAGTTTAGACTAAAAACAAAGAGTTACAAATTATACTAAAACAGATGATGGAGCAAATATACTAGCATTAGTGTTGGTAAATGAGTCAAGTGGTCAACTAGTGGCATTTTATGGGCAGAATTATTTTATTTTGTATTTTCTCCGTATTTTTAATATTCTGCTAAAAAACTAGGCAAACATTATAATAACCTCTCCAGTGCCAAATGAACTAACGAGCATTCAGCTAAGAATAAATTCATTTAAAATAGATACAAAAAATATTCTATGATATACAAATACAACAATTTGTAATGTACAAGACTAGATAGTCTTCACTTTTTTTCTTTTTTTAGGGGGGGACTTACTGGATATAAATTTCTGTAGCCACTTGTCAACCAAAGTCTTAACTCATCTTTCGTAAAACGTTCACAAAAACTAAGTAAGTCTGCGACACGGTTGTGAATGTGGACTCTCACCTAGGTACTGCTTCGAATACTTCAGTACAAATGAGTTCCAAATAATTAATACTTCCTATGACTATATATGCTCAAAAGTGGCAGTTGGCACTATTACATACTGCAAACACGGTGATGTTTTGTTGCTGCTAAAAGTTAAACGCAGTGTTTCAAAACTAGCAAATACACTGGTATTCAAACGCTTAGAGGGTCAAACCTTTTGAAGCTCCTGTAACACCAAGCACTCTAGAGTTACACTGGATTTCTGATTACTCTAGTTAAAAGTCTTTTATATATTAAATTATTAGCCCTTATCTTGTAAACCACAGCAGTAAATATTTGTGCCCTGTTTATAAAGACATAGCTCAGATATTGATGGCTTTGAGAGGTAGCAAATTCTCTAGTGGTTTTAGTATGCTCTCATGAAAATACTTGGTGCCAGAACCTACTACCTCTCCTATTTTCTCAAATAAAATTAAATTAGCACCTGGCTATGATGTCATAGGAAAAGAAGCTGTCTGGCATGGTCTCAATGAGTAGTTTTAGCAAGACCTTAACTTTTCGATGACGATTTTCAATGCCTTTTAAGTGCAAGCTGCAGAATCACGCCACACGTGCAGTGGGGTTTTTCACTGGTTGGACTGTCCATAGAGGCTGAGCAGCCGTGGGCACAGCCAGCCAGCAGTGGCGTGCAGCAAGGGCTGCCACCTGTGCCCCTCCATGGTGGGGCTGTCCCTGTGCTCACTGGGAGCAGAAAGCAGCCTGCCTTCCTCTCCCGCCTACCCCTGCCCTGGCAGACGGCGTGAAGAGCACGTAGGGAGCGGCAGAGGAGTCTGGAAAACATCACTGCAGGATGCACATGCTCTGAGGACTGCACAGCGCTCCTCTGCTCACAGCAGCCCTGTCACCCAGAGCAGCCCTGTCACCCCAAGCAGCCCACGCCAATTCTGCTGGCAGCAGCACCTGCCAGTCCAGCACGCGTGTGCGCACTCACACACGCTCACACGCTCGCACACAACTCGCTTTCAGCAACATGCCTGACATAGCTTTCCTAATGTTGGCACAAGAGATTCCAGTAGCAGCGTGGTCGGCATCGTTCCTCATCAGGGGAGCTGGAGGACAGGCCCCTGCCCCAGCCAGAGGTGGCTGGAGGGGACAGACACACAGGAGCTGACCTTTCAGGCTCCTCTCCAGCCCTATTATCTGCCATTTCCGCCCACTATTAATGAGCTACTTAGGATGCATATTTTTCGTGATTGCAAAACAATGGCAGAAGCCAGGGTAGGAAGGCTTGTCGTGAAAAATATTAAGTTCATATTGATCCCATAACTTGTGAAAAATAGTCTATTGTTCTTGTTCAAGTGAGTACTTTATACTATTAAGAGGAGGCTGAATTAGAAATTTACTCCTAGATATGGACGGTTTGGTGATAAGCAGTCTGAACTGTAGCATACAACCAGCTGTGGATAGAGCAAAGCAAGCCTGGCCTGGAAAAGCATCAGAGGCTCCATGTACAGTAATTCACCTACAGGTGTCCGTGTGTGGCTGCATGGACGTATGAGATCGGATGGTCCCACCGAGATTAAGACATCAACAAAACCAAGCTTTTTTTTTTTTTCTTTTTTTCTTTTTTTTTTTTTTTTAACCAATATAATCCATACAATACAATACAAGAGGAATTGACAATACAGTACAATTTTAAAAATTCTTAATACTTGGACAAGAAAATCCTTCTTTTATATTATCTCTTCAACTGTCATTGCTTCTTATCTCCTTCCTTTTTACTCTTTTATTGCCTTTCAAAATAGATTATTTCCCTGGAAGATCGAATTTACAATCTTCTGCTGATTGAAATGTTTAAGTAGTGATTGATGAAATAAAAATGAGGCAGTTTGTACAGCTGTGAGTGTGCGGGTATCTTTCCACAGGATCTTTTATATCCCTCGCCATCTCACCTGTGGGATATACTTCCACTTTTTCACCTGCCAGAGCTGTGGGGTTTCTTTTCGTTCCCCCCTCCCCGCTCCCACCCCAGCTCCCTCCCCCTGTGTGACTCCTTAATTCAGGTGAAGATGTGATTTGGAGGTTTAGAATAAAGTGCGCCATCTGCTTTAAAAAAAAACAGTAATAAAAAGAAGGGAATCCGAGTCATAGGTCCTTTCATCTTTTGTGAGGAAGACGGCAGAGTCTGAAAGGATCACCCTGCATGACTGAAAATACCAAAGTCCACTACAGTTTGATATTGCTGTACACTGGGTAACAGACTAGCTTTAGGTCAACTAAAGATCATGAGTAAGTTAAATGGAGCATCTACTGTACAGGTGTGCGGGTGTGTGGAAGTCTGAGTGCTGCGTTTATTTGTCCCAAACAGAAAAGAAAAAAGGATCGTGCTCGTTTACATGAGGCAAAGTGGCAGCATCAGTACATGTGACAAAGCATCGTGATGACATGGGCGAACCTTCAGAAAGCAAGGGTGATTAGAGGACGTCTCTCGGAGGACCGACAACTACGCCACGGCAGTGGAGTTCACTGGGAGCATCAGGGCAGCTGCGTACAGAGAGAGGGGAGAGGGAGAGGAGGGGGAGAGAGCAAGAGAGAGGAGGAGGAGGAGGAGGAGGAGGTACAAATACTTTGTGGTGACCTTGAGCAGGAGCCTAGAGGGGCAGATTATACATGAGGCTTGTCTTGCCAGAGAGAGTCCTCCCAGTTGGATCCCTTCATAGCCTGGTCTGGGCTTCGGGGATGTATATCTCAATGCTTTCGGCGCTCTCGGTAGCTGAGTTCTGGCGGACCGATGCAGCGCGCTTGGCAGCCATCAGCCGTTTCCGGGCCTCTTGACGCTGCGAGCTTTCCAGAGAGCGTTCTCGTATGAGTGGCACCTGACCTTTCGATGGCTTCTTTGGCACTGGAGGAGGGACCCTTCTCTCCTGATCAAAGCAGAAGGTTAATGGCATTATACAGCTTCTCAGGGAAAGGCGGGAAAAACTAGGATATATCAGTAGTTAGAACACACATTTTACCTAAGGTTTGTTAGCTCTTATCTGCCTTTCTGTCTTCAGTCAACTGGCTTTTGTGCTCAAAGGTTCATAAACATAGGGCAAGGGCAAAGGGGAGGGGAGGGCCGGCCGCCGTGCTACTTCTCCTCGGGGACGGTGCTGCCAGGGCCGAGGCCCCCACCGCTACCTGCTTAGTGCCAGGGACTAGGAAAGAGACCGACCTCCCGCCACTGGCACAGCCGGGAGGGAACGCTGCCCTCAGCAGAGGAACTCTGGAGAGCCCCAGCTCCTGGGCCACCCTCTTCTATCCGTGCACAGCGCTAGATGCTCCTGCAACACGGAGGTGCCGCGGCTTTGGTGTTCCCAACTGCGGATGGGAGCTAGCTGTCTGCAGCTGGTGCATCAGAATAAGTAGGTTTTTTTAAAAAAAACACCACATATTTATGTATCTATTTTTAGCAGTTTAGTGACTGCTCAGAAATCCCACACTCTGGGTCTCGCTGTGCAAGCTCATTCACTCTGGCCTCGTGCTAAATAGGCATGAAGCTACATTCAGCTAGAAACAGAAAATCTGGTAGGAAAAACTTAAAAACCATTAAGAGAACGTGCATTAATCATCATGGTGGCAGCTAGCTCCAGATATGTGACCAACAAGGAGGGCTTTTACATATATCCTGGTGCATGTACACACACATACACACAAAAAAAAAGAAGGAAAAAAAAACAAAACCAAAAACCAACAAAAACAACCCCTCAGAGAGGGATTTTTCCCGCAACAGAAAAGTGTATTCAGAACTGAATTTCAGGCATCCACAAAGACTTTGTCAAGTTAATTAGATTGTCTTTTAAGTTACATCCCCTTCCAACTGTGAACACGGTCTCTGAGCGGAGGGATTTTATCACACTACAAAGGTCCCATTCTGCCCTTTCGTTTTCTCTCATGCTGCTCACAACAGCTTCCATGGCTCAAAATATAAAGGTGCTTAGTTACACTTATTCATACTTTGCTTCTTCTCTCCGTCCAAGGATTAATCTATGCTGCTTAAAAAGGGCCCAGTGGCAAAGGCCAAAGACAAATATCAATTCCACAGAAAGTTTTTTCTTCCTTTTTTTTTTTAATCCTTTTTAAGAAAGGAGATGATCTGTTTCATCCAAAATCACAGACAAATGCTGTTGAAACAGGAACACAGTGTAATTCTTTAAAATCTTTACCTTCCTACTGTAGGTCCCTTTCTTCAGCACTACTTAACTTCCTTTAAACCGTTATAGTCTTCTTTTTGTTGGAAACTCTTTGAAATGTTTTTCAGAAGCAAAGAAAAGGCACATTTTTTTTCAAGGAAAGCTCTGATTTCTTACTGCTGCAATTGCAAACACTCAGCCTACCCACTTAACTGTAAAAGCTAATAAAGACCATATACCAGCATTTCTGTGCATGCATGTTTGGCAGTTTTAACTTCCTTTTTTGATAGAGACTGGAAAAAAAAAAGAAGATAAGAAAATGACTTGCCTTCAGTACATTGGGCTAGGAAAACACATTCCCATTCATTCCCCTACAAAACACACTAGGTGTGCACAAATGGTGTGAACATGGTACTCCTAAATCAGGAATGAGTATTTAGTCTTGATTGGAGGAGGAGGAGGAATAGTGCTACCAGCACTGCCTGTACAAGCTTCCTGCTGCAAGATTAACGGGGTTTGATATTATTATGGTTATTTATCCAAAAGAAAGCACCACTTTGGCCATTGGCAGCCAGCTGACCATAAGTTGGGGTAGCCAGGACTCCTGTCTGAGCCACTGTACCTGTAAGTTGTGCTCCCCCTCGTTCTGGTGACCCTACCTGCTGGCTGTATTCATTGCTATCAGACCAGTCACAGCAGAAATTCAGCCATCAAATTACATACCTATAGGAGCGCGACATTAGACCGTTGGATCCTCTAGGAATGGGTCTGTACTCTAAGGATTTTCTGAAACATTTGTGTATTTTGGCTCACCCAAGTGCTGTTTGTCTTGAGGTGGATAGTGAGTAGAAAAAAAAAGGCGATGTGGTGCGAAATGAGAATGTAAAGTGAAATGTGACTCACGCTTGGAGATGTGGCAGTTTTTCATGGTGACAGAAGAAGACTACATTTACCAAAAACAAAAAAAAAAAAAAAAAAAAAAAAAAAGAAAAAAGCCCACCAAAGCTCCAGATGATTTTTATGCTACCTCAGGTAAACCCAGATGATTTTTATGCTACCTCAGGTAAACAACAATACCAGAAAAGTGAATGTGTTTGTGAACTCACCCTTTTAAAAAAAGCCCAAAATAAGTAAAAAACAAACAAATGGATAAAAAAAGTAACTTTTTCATGTAACATTTTGGAAGGCATATTTTTGATATTGCTGTTTGTAATCTGGCTACCAAAGTCAGCGATGGTTACAGTGCTTCCCTAGTTTTTTCAGTAACACAACCTAGAACTCTTGCTGTATGCAATAATATGAACCGTAAATGTGATTTATTTAATTTTAAGAATCAATATATAAGGCAGTTCCTTCCAACGATTGATCGTCTAATATGATTAAATCGTCTAATATGATTAAATGTAAAGCTTAACAAAGTACCACATTCCCATTATCCAATTCACAAAGACAGATTTGGTTTAAAAATATGCCTGAAACATATTACAGATAATATCCCAGATGATTATTATGTAAACATTGTTATTACAATGAAATTAATTTGATATGAGCTTCATTTCACATTTTTAACGGCAACGCTGTAACACAGAGGCCTATTTAATCTGTCCAGTATTTGTGCAGGGTTTTAAATGAAGCATACAAAATCTACAGTGTTCTACCTTCTTGTCATGAGGATCCATCTGTTTCCAATTATTGGCCTTTAACTGATGAAGTTCATCAAATTTCATACTAATATTTTCTATGGACAACTGCAGCATATCCCAAAACCCTGCTAAATCCTGGGAGGTCGGCCGTGGATGTGCATTAGGATTCTGCGCAACAGAAGAAAAAAACATGTTGGCTTTAGTACTTCTTAATGTAAAGCATTTGTGCAAATGGCTACAAATCTCGCTAGCAAAGCAGTTTGAGCAGATCCAAGTGATGGGGAAGACCCGGAGAGAGGAGCAAAGCAAAGCATTACTTACTGGTGGGTTTTATTTTGAGGAAATGTGGCTCGGCGCTGAGCTGCTGTGCCCTGCCAACATCCACTCGGCAAAGGCAGCAGGTACCCCCCACAGCCTAAGGGTAAAGGACCCCAGGATCTGCCACAGGATGTTCCCAGGCACAACTGGTGGCAATCCTATCTGCACTGAAATGAATTGCCAGCCTCTTCTTCACTTTCAGGAGGAAGGATTCCCCACCATGCTCACACTTGTAAAAAAGAGTAAGACCTCTGCAAATGTACATTTCCTGCATGTGCCAATAATAATATACCAATGTGTGAACACTTTTCCTGCTGCACTCTGAGGATGTAACGTTGACAAAAATACACCAGGTGAAATTGTCTCAGGCCAATTTTTTTTTTCTTTTTTTTGTTTGTTTGTCAAGAATAACTTATGCAGGGTGAAAAGCCCTACATGCAGAAGCACAGTAAACCCATTTTTACAGGCAGATTTTTGGGAAGAATGAAACTGGGACACAGGGGGGTAGGATTGCTTTGTGTGTGCAAACTTATCAGCCCAAGAGCATTGCTCAGAAAAGCACATCTGGACAGTCAGCATCTTCAGCACAGCTCGGGCCAGACCCAAGAAATCCTGTCCTTCTGTCCCTTCAGCGCACCCCAGCTCTGAACACGTTTTGCATGCAGTGGGTGTACACAAAACCATCCCTGCTCCACTGGCAAGGCTTGCAGGAGGGAAGGCTTTCTACAGGATGTCTCTCTATAAGCTGGTTCCCAGCTGAAACTGTTTAATTGAAATGAGATGTTGCATACACTCACTTCGAGCATGTTTTTCATAAATGCTGAGAAGTCCCTACACCAGCCAGCAAGGTTTGGTGGGTGCTGTGGCCTTGTCAAACTACACTGATAAATTGCTATTAATTTTGTTGTTAATAAATAAATTAATAGCAGCACCTTGCATGATGTTTTACATGGCTCAAGTTTTCCTTTGCCTTTAGTTTTCTTCCTCCTCAGAAGCAATAAACTCAAAAGAGTCAGTTGGTTGCCTTACAAAATTTCTATTTTTGCTTTTCACAATCACACTTACAGAGGATTTTGGTAGGACGATTATACCATGAAAGGTGCAATTATTGAAAACAATAAAGTATATATTTTTAGAATCATAAGGAGACCAGAGATTACAGTTTGATTCCTAGTTTATCAGTGCTTGACACTCTCAGGTTGCCCAGTCGTCGGCTGTTATTTGCAAAGACGCTCAATCAGAAGGCTTTTTCAGTTTTTATATTAAGAACTGGAAGTCTTATAAAGACATAGCCAATTTCTGTTGCATTTGTCCACTGAGGCAGTTTTTAGTCTGGAACTTGTTTCCCAGGAACACCTGAGAAAGCCCAACTCAGGAAATTTCTGATCCACTCCCAAGGACCTTAAGTTATTTTACCCATCTGTGTGCCCATGAAGGGATCAAGGGACAGAACCTTGCTCCTCTGAAGTCAGTTGCAGAGCCTCAGTGATAGTTCATCCAAAGCTTTTCACCTTTATTTTAAGGCTCTCAAGCTATTGTGAAACTCTTGCTGACTCTGACAATTTTGAGTTACTCCCAAATTAATATCAAGGCCTTTACTGGAAAAACTGCCATATTATTCGGAACATCAGTTTAGTTTACGCAGGATTATTCACAGGGTTAGTAAAAGGCACACATTAGTATCCAGCAGAAAAATCACATACCAGGTTTTCTTCACAAAGTTCTCTGAACTGGTAAAATTTCTGAGCCATGAGAAGCTGGGCACTGCCCACTGCAGTTCGAATTTTCCCTAGAACTGAGAGAAAAAGAAGAGTAAGTCACAATGCTTTCTTTGCTGCAGGCAACTAAAAGCCTATAAAAAGAGAGGAGAAAGCTGTGCCACAGTCAGCTCTGGCTTTCAAAAGGTATGTTATCTTTCAGTCACAAAAAGAGAGAAGTTGATAAATCTAAGGTCAGATCTTCACGAGGCAAAAAATATGTAAAAGGTTACTGCATGTTACTCTCATTCCTCCAGTGAGACCAGTTGCAACCAGTTGTAATGACAGCGTAAACGTGGCTAATCAAAAGCTTCTGCAGGCAGTATAGAAAGCTCACCAAGTGTTATTGCTATGACCCAGGCTCAGTTTTGAACACAAACCCAGCTCCCTGCACAAGGACATGCGGCTGTCAAGCCCTATTTGCTTCGCCACCTCACTGAGCAACTCACCGAGCAGCACTGCCTTACTGTCAGGTGTAGCTGAGTGTTGCTCCATCAGAGCCCCAGAAAGGGGATGATTCTTTTAGCACACACCAGTGAATCTCATCTGGACCCTCTGAGTACTGTCCATGAGCACAATCCAAGGCTGCTTCTGCCTTTGAATTCAAGTGCCCAGGAGTGCTTCAGGGAGCAATCGCACCCTGGCCTCTCCTCGCTGGTGCCTTGGAGGGAGGTGTCCAAGAGTCCCAGTGCAGCTGACTGAGCACTCCTTTGTACAGACAGCTGGATACTTACTGCCCCTTTGGACTGACCGAGCGCTGTGAAGGGCTGCAATGAACCAGAAGACAGCCCATAGTAAATGCCTCTGAATAAAGCAGGAGCTCACACTGTTTTGGTTGCATTCAACCTCACTCAGACACTGGGATTTTACTGCTGCTAGGGGTAGCTGGGAATACACTGCCCCAAACCCAGGCATAGATGGGTGCATTCAGAGACTCCCGGGGGAGTTCTGGTCCGGGGGCGACTCTGTGTGTACCTGTACATGTGTGGACACATGTATGTGTGTACTTTGTGTGTGTGAAAAAAAAGCAAGAATGCAGGAACACAGCAGAAAGGCACACGTGGCCTCAGCTGGCAGTAAGACAGTGAATCCAGAAAACAGGGTGTGAATTTAGGGACTGCTGAATTGATGCTGTGAGCAAGAAAGCAGCTACCGATTTGTTTGAGATTTCCAATGCTCAGAAAAAAAGCCAAAACGGTCTTTGAAAAAACAGGCTGGCATCACAGTTTTATCTGGCTCCTTCATTAATTTTCCCTCTCAGCTGAAACTACTTATTATCCCCAATTCTCTGGTTAACAAGTGATTAAAAATAATTTTAATTAATTTTTAAAAATACTACCACTTCCTTAATGAAAAACATGAGTGACAGCCACTGTGTCACAGTTCTCACTATCATTTCTACTCAGAGATATTTGTATTGTCCCATCCCTCAAACAGACACAGTAACTTTTCCATGACAAATTTACAGCCTGGGTATATGAGACAGGTGAAGGAGGAGCAGCAAAAACAAACAGATGAGGTAGCCTGCTCAAGGTGAGTGAATTCCTGGCAGAGCCTAGAAGAGATACTAGTCCTAAGCTGCCATCTTCTGCACCACCCCTTGAGCACAGTCATTTTTTGTATAAAAGCTAAGACAGCATTAACAGAGCTCCCCTGGAAAAATATTGCTAAATATTTTGATTTACCACAATGAAAAATAAAGAAATTAACACATACATATATAAATACATGCAACTTTGCTATAACCCCTTCTAACAAGATTTTTAGCGTTTCATTGGTCCTGTGACTGGCTGTAGTGCTGGCTACCAGAATGCCACCATACACTGCTTGGTAAGAGAAAGGCCTCTCCAAGGGCTTGAGTAGCCACATGCTAAGCAGACTGGCACAAATACTCATGGTAAACTGAAACCTGATACACAGTAATAACGAAATCTGTGTTCTCCTCCTTTAAGGCAAATGGTTTTTCCTCCACCACCCTCAAAGCTCACTTCTTAAGGCTTACGTGGGATGTGGAGTTCATTTATACTTCAGACATACAAAGGGGGGGAAAAAAAGGGGGAGGGACGAGAGAGTCTGTGCACGTTTTTTTCAGAACCTATAGGAGAGAGCTTTGTGAACACACACAGAGCCCAGACTTTCATTTCATTCCCAGAACTCAGCTCAGCACTGCCAGGAAATAGCCATGAGCTGGAAGATTCACGAAGCAGAATATTTTCAGCATATTGCGCAGGGAGTTTTGCACACAACTCTCATTATTGTTAGCAAGGCTTGCGTGTCTAATTCTATGCGCACAGTGCTGAAAATGGACCCCTTGGTGTGTCTAGTCATTTATGCAACCCAATATGCAAACCACTCAACTGAAAGGACTTTTCAATAGTAGGAGGAGCTACTCCGAGAGCTTTCATGTGGTTCCCATTGTTATGAAAACTCTTCCCACTGAGTATATTTGGGAACAGCTGCCTCATCTGGAGCTCGGCCACTCTGATGCTTCCCAAGACTTGAGAAGGGGAGAAAAACATCCCCTCAACTTCTTGGGATTAAAAAAAAAAAAAAAAAGATGAGTTGGGCTTTTCCTGGAAACCTGCACCAAATGAGTTGGAAATCACATCCCAAGCACGAAGAAATGCATATACAACTTGTTGGTGATGGATGGGAATGTGCCCCTTTCTTCTGGGGAAGAAGAGGTTTAATATTCAGAGATCTCAACAGAGGGAAAAGGAAGTCCTTGTCCTTGGCTGCCTAGTGACTGGCTATTTGCCTAAAAACCATCATCCCAGCTGACTGCGGGATGCATGCTGATGCTGTTCTCTATTGTTGCCACTTCTGTTGTAGCTGTGGCTGTATCTAGTCAAGTGTCACTGATTCCTTGCCCCTCAAAAGCAAGGGGTCTGTTAATGTGCAACTCGTCAACAACCAACTCTGTCACGGAAGTTAGCGGGGAGGGGGGGAAAGACAAAACACAAAGCATGCAAAAAACTGAAAGGAATGTCTCTAGAAGACACAAAGCCTTATCAATAGACTAAGTTTGTTTCCAAACCCACGTTGCTCTTACTGTTTCAAGGCACAGTGCTCATTTTGCTTACTCAGTCAAAATCTCTGGTGCCCAACAGAAAGGCCAAGGTGTAGTGAAAAATCAAAAGCAAAAACAGACCAGTAGATTTTCTTAGAAGAAAAGTCTGCAAGGTTTGAAGCCAAATACCAAGAAAATAAACGGAATTGCAAAGATAATACTCAAAACAAATCAGAAAAGAATCAGAGAAATCTTTAACAGCAAGGGAGATGGTGTACAGGAGGAAAAACACATAAACATTCAAATTGATGTGTTCAGCTAATAGGATACAAAGAAAACGTATAAAACCAAGCAACAAAAAATCCCAACCCATCAAGATGCAATCATAATGGATTTAAACACCTATATAATGTTATTCATATCTGCTTTCTGTTCTATACAGGGCTATACAGCACACTCAGCACTGTTGGATCTGAATGCCTTCCAGTAATGCATTAAGCAACATTATTAACATCCATCATATGCTCTGCTGTCACCTCTTCCCCAGAGGGAAAAGTGTGTGTACTGCAGTATTTTTTTTTATAGTTTGAATTTTTCCTGTTGTTTTGGGTTTTTTTTCCTTCTTCCCTTCTTGCTTTGACCCATCTTCCTTGTAAATCCAGTTCGTTCCTGTGACATTTTTTTAAGACATGGACAATTATGTCTATTCTTGAAGAATTAATAGCTATTTTGATGGAATTCTGCTACTGTGGAATGCCTCCTCACTATTACTGTTCTTATCTAGGAATCACAGATTATTCATGGACAGACACATGACAGTGAATATCCTTGTGTCTTTGACCCCTCAACATGTTCTTCTTTTAAAATATCATTGAAAATAGACTTGGACTATGTGCTGTCCAAGCAGTAAGTTCTTGCTTCTCTTGGTTCCAAGAATTGCTTAGGACCTGTTTTGAAATTGTAGAGCTCTATGTATTTCTCTCCTCCACGTCTTCATCAGAAAAGAAATAGGAAAACAACAAAATAAAAGAATTGTGAACACAAGCAAAAAAATAGTTATTGTCATCTGCTCTAACTAGGAAGGTGGCTATGCATGTAACAAGGATAACAAAATATAAGAAAATAACAAAACCCACCTGAAGTGATGTGAAAAGTAATCACATAGAAGCCAGGGGAGTTTTGAGAAGGGACAGCATTATTTGGCCTTAAAACCCCAACTGATGTATTTGCATTTGAACTTTGACAGGCCCCAGGGTCTAACAAGTGACAAAGGAGGCAGTTTAGGACTCCGACTATCAAATGCCCTTATAATGTGAAAACACCTGGTTGATAGGCAGGGCCCAAGCTAGGGAACAGAATACCAGGGACTTGCTCATTGCCCCAGGAGCAAGTGGCAGGAACAATAGCTGAAATTACAGGGACACAGCCTGACATTTGCGTTGCAGATGTTGGCTGGGCACAATGCATATGAAGCAATCCTGCCACAGAGCTGTCACAATCCATTTCCAAGCCAGGATGGACCAGCATTTTAGCCTATTCATGTTGACAGACCTACATTTAAATAACGCCAAGCATGACAAAAGCCAGGAAATTCAAAGTTAAAGCTACTGCTCAGGTCTTAAGCTCAGCTGTTAAGGAGAAAACAGCCAAATGGAACAAACTAGGGAAGGAGCAGTCCTTTCTTTGGGTCATATATACTTACAGGAGTGATCTCATTGAAATTAATAGGGCTGCCTGCATGAGCAAATGCTGTTCGTTTGGATTGAAGCAGTTTCCATGTGTTCTGTGACTTACTTGGCTTTTATTAGCACATTTAATGTTTTTTTCCCCTAACTAGATCCTTTCCTTGCTTGTGGATTTCACTTTTTGTCCTACTAGCCTCTGGGCACTGGTAGGGCTTTCCTTGCTGGCTTCCTTTGAGAAACCCTCGACTATGGAGATGTTCCATCTGGGGACAAAAGGACAAGAAAAGGATAAATTTGGCATGTGGCCAGAGGCACGTAGCCAGGGGGATTCCAGCAGGACTCGGCCACATGTCAGGCTGGTGACCATCCCTCTGCACGGCTGTCCCAGCCCACTGCAGGATGAGGCACTCTCACTCCTCGGAACAGCAGAGACCAGGGTTGCTCGGAGAAGCCCTGCAGAGGAATGGCAAATGGTTTTCTGTGCTTGTGGCTGAGAGTGAATTCATGGGTCTCTTGTTCTTTTGCCATGCACAACTATTATGGAAAATGTACTCTTTTTTCTAAACTTTATTCCCTCATGTCTAACCTTTTCTTTTGAAACAATTGAAACAAACCGAAACAGCAGACACAGTGTGTAAGCATTGCATAATTTGCCAGACCCGGATGAATTTGTAGAGGCTCTGGTCTTGAGCAGTGAGGTTCCTGCAGATTTGAGGTCAACCTTTATTCACAGGCTTGCCCAGAGTGCTGCCATATACACGCAGGAGAGTTATAATGACATGTCTTGTGAGAGCTTTGGTTTTCTGTTTTAGTTTTTACTTGATTGGCCTGGCTTGTCTCACCACTAAACCCACATTACACCTGACTTGTGGTGAATCAGACCTGCTGTTTGCTTCTGATGGTTATCTTTACACCGAAGCCACAGTACAGTCCCATGCGAAAGAGAAACTTCTGGAGGGGGCAGGGGGAGGCAAAATGAAGCTTTCCGGTTCTTCCAAGAAGGTCAGTGCTCCATGTGAAATACAAACAACAGCAAAAAAACCCCTCCAAAGACAGGCCAAGGCCATAGGAGTATGTTTCTGTGCCCACCATGCTGGGAAAAGAAGTGGTCAGGGCTGTGCAGGGAGCCAGGTCTGCTGCTGCTAATTTTGTATGTAAATGGTGACAACAGAGGCCTGAGCCTATAAAGTCACCAACATCTGTGGTGAGACTCTGACTGCTTGAAATTTTGCAGGGGAGAGGTAGGAGGAGCAAGCAGATGGTTGAGAAAAAAAACAAAAAAAAAGTCAACAGTTGATTTCACTTGAGGCCTGATCCAAAGCGTCAATCAATTCTCACAAGGTATTTAGCCTCAGATGTGTAACATCTTTTCTATTTTTTTTTTTATAAGAGCCCTGGAGTTTGTAGCCAACTTCCCTGTAACTGCAAAATACACTGAAATCATATCAAGTATGCTAGCTTAAAGTGTGAGTGGTGTTCATCTGCCTGTCACACATGCTGTGGCTTATCATCAGAAAATGATTTCAGATAAAACCAGAATACACTATACAATAAATAATTCATGGCGGAAGGGAAGCCACATTTCTCTCTATATTGGCATTTCATCGTGCAGCCGCTGAACCACAGCTTGTTTTTATACAGAGCAGCAGACTCCATTTCCCAGCTAGAAACATTCAATCCCATCTGGTAGATTCATTCCCAGCTAGATAATACCCTACGTATCTATGTAACATACAAGCTACTGTCAAACAGCAGCGAGCCGTCTCCCCGAGACAGCTGTTCCGCACAAGGGCCGCATTGTCTGAAGGAAGCGCGGATCGCTTTACGTGGAGCGCCGAGGGGATGAGCCCTCTGTCAGCTGCCATGGCATCGAGAAAACCTCGCTCATCACACGTTCTCGTTATTTTGTTATCTGGCCAAACACATGCCGGGGATGTCAGGTTGGAAACAAAGGATGCATTCCCTGCTCTGGTTATGTTTCATTAGGGAAAGCAAAGCAAATGCGTCTCCTCTCCTCCCTTCCTCTCTCCCTTTAAAGTTTATAGATGTATGAAAAAGACGTTTTTTGGGGCAGGGTTTGTAACAACCAGGCTTTTGTTTCTGGCACTGCTGAGAGGGCAGAGTGGCCCCGGCCATATGCTTTTCCTTGGCAGCAGGTAGAGCGCGACATGCTGAGCCGCAGCAGAAAGCCCTGCGCAGCCTCTGTGGGAAGCAGCTGCCACGTGCCACAGCAGCGGACAGAGTCACACTGAAATAAGTACTGCAACAGTGGCTACCAAACCCAGGTGACTCTTTTCCTCCTGCCATTACCAGTGATCACATGCCAGGTGTGCTGTGCGGAGGCATTGGAAATAGCCAGCCCAACCATTCCTCTTTCCTCCCCCTAACTGACTCCTCCCACTGATTCCTCAAAGAGCCCTTTAAAACTGTCTTGTATCAAAGACACCAAGACATTGAGAGAAAATTCTGTACAGATATGCGTTTTCTGCATCCATCAGCATCGTAAAATTCACTTCATGTTCTTTTCCTACTACTTTATTGGTGCACCAACTACCTTGGTGCACAAATAAAATATTTTATAGGTTTTCCCAGTATTATCAGTTCATAGAATGACAGAATAGTTTAGGTTACAGAGGACCTTTAAAAATAATCTAGTTTCAGCCCCACTGCTGTGGGCAAGGACACCTTCCACTAGACCAGGTTGCCCAAAGCTCATCTACCTGGCCTTGAGCCCTTCCAGGGATGGGACAGCCACAACTTCCCTGGGCAACCTGTTCCACTACCTCGCCACCCTCATCATAGAATATGTTTTCCTTATATCCAGTCTAAGTCATTACGACTTTAAAAAGTTGTGTATTTCCTGTTTGTTATGTGTTCACGCTCCTTTTTCAATCTAAAATCTCATAGTTCATGAGGTTTATTTCTTTATACTACAGAAACAACAGAAACCCTTTTATTCTGATACATGGTCAAAGAGATTTTTGAATGCATTTACGGTGTGAGTTAAAAATGAGATTCAAAAATTCTAGAACGTGGGCAATCTGTATCTGCTTTAAGGTCAAACCTTCCATATATTTTCTTCAGAAGAAATTGTTAGTCTATTATGTAACATAAATTTTGTAGAAATAGAAAACCTTTACGTATCTTAAAATTCAGGTTATCTTATACTTGCCATTAAAATTAATTTCCAACTACAATTGCTTACAATTTTTTTCAGCTTGGACTATCTAGATCATACCTTTTCATTCACTGGCTTGAATGGAAAGTTCCAGCAGAAACAGCTTATGCATTTCTAAGAATTCTTTTCCCAGTGTTAATTTCTTTCCTTTCATAAACCAAAACCTTTACATTTCAAAAGAACTCAAACATCTCTCTTCTTGAGAGGAAAGGTCAGAAAATTTTTAGAAGCAATTCTGGAGCTGAAATAGAAGTCCTTGCTTTGGTAGAAGCTAATTTGGGGGTTGGAAAAATATTACTTGTATATCCAGGAAAATATGCTTAGGCGTGCCTAAATAATAAAAAACTGAATTCTCTATAAGCAGCTGCTCCTTAGTGTTTCCCAGAAGCTCACTTCTAGAATTTGAAACAGCTTTATTTGCAAGGACCATGTTCATAAGCTCACAGATTTACTTGTGTCTAAAGTTGACAGCTAGTAATAGTACTGTTCCTTGTAAGAGAAATAAATGGAAAAAAACCCTTCATTTTTACCAGGAGAAAAAATTCTGGATTGGGAAACACTCGCTCAGCCTTTCTGCCCTAATTAGAGTGAACGAGCAAGATGTGAACTATTCAACCCTCAACCCTTCTGAGTAATGAAGGTTTACTAGACAGTCCTATTACTTTGCAGGTAGGTTAATATTGCTGTCAGGGGTGACAACTGAGATGTAGTTTGCATGTGTGTGGTTTTCTGTCACACAATATGAAGAGCTTGTTTTATTGGCACTGTCAAAGCCTATGAGAACTGTAAGGGAGATACAGGGAGGCTGGAGAGGGGAAGGCAGAGAGAGAGAGGGGACAATTTGGAAGCGTAACTGAAATCTCTTTCAGTAGGGAGAAACATCTAAATACTGTTATGCCAATCACCATCTGAAAAGGCAGCTGAAATATGAATTTAATTAAAAGGAACTACAATCTGTTAAACTATATTCTAAGGTTATGAGAAGTGATTTCAAATAGAAGAGTTAAGAAACATTAATACTACAAGATCCCTAACCACACTCTCCTAATTATCCGTTGAACTATGCAATCCCAAAAGCTAATACCACTGGAGTTTCAGAAGTGCCGAGCATTTGCATTCCCTGTCAGCTTTAATAAGGATTATTATATACATACATACAGTCCTTTTGAGAATCACAACCATAGCTTCATTAGCTAAGTAAGAAAGGGCACAATACAGAATTCACTGGGGTGAATTTGACCTATATTGAATACTTCTTTGCAGTTGCAATATTACTGTGTGTGGTTACTTACTGTCCTCAGGTAAGTTGTTTTCACGTTCTTCTCTCTCCATCTGTTGGCACCAACCCTCCATACGATCTCTCTCTGCCTGAAGTAGCTTCAGAAACCAGTGGCCATCTCGTGGGCACACTGACCTTTGAACAGCTTCCAGAGGATCTTCAGTAATAGAGTCAATCCATGGGTCAGGAGGAGGTAAAATTGACGGATCAAAATCTGTGTCAAAGTCATCATCCACTGCACATGCATGGTAGTGGTTTCCTGACCCTTGTATGCTAACGGTAGAGGTGCTTGCATCTCGGGAAAACTGTCTTGATATTTGTCCAGAACATGTATTGTCCTCTTGAGGGTCGATTATTTCAAAGTTCTCATGGAAATCCAGGTCTGCTTGCACAGCTGTTGTTACACTATTAGATCGTGTAAACCTGCGAAAGCTTTGGAGAGCACAAACAGAAAATGTTTAGAAAGTTTTTTCTAGGTAACTCAGTATGGAAGGACTTACTAAGATTCTGCCACTCTTCCCAAGACTGGCAGTCACACCTCTCAGTCTGACATTCAGGTGTTTTTTTCTTGAAATGATCAGCATAAGCTTTTTTTCTCATTGCAAGCAAACAAACAAGCATCTCTCTTTTTCCATGCAAGCTCACTCTTTATTGAAAAAAGGTCCTCTAAGTGTTATGTGGTTTAAGAAAGCCAGAGGCCAGCTCAAGAGAGAGCTAACAGTGCCAGTAGCTCAGGTTTTTAGGTTACTGATTTATTTCAGAAGTGGTTTATCTTTCAGTTTTTTGGGTGTGTAGCTTCACACCCCTGTGAAGTTACACTCCCAAACTCAAAAGCTACATTTAAAAATCATACATGTGAAATCAGTAAGAAGCTAATACCAATGAGTCTACTACATATGTAATATTACACATTCCATTTATACAAAAAAGTACTTTTAACTCAGATAAGTATTTTTAATCCTTCTTCATAACTACTTCTCATAATTATGTATCTGCCATCTCTCACAATTTTAGTGCCCGTTGCCAGTGTCCAGACATTCTATTTTTCACATTGAAACTTCGGTTTCAAAATGATCTGTTTTCCACCAAAGCTAGCGTTCTGCCTGTCTGTGTCACCGTTGTTGTGGTGGCTGCTCTCCTGTAGGCAGCTTCCTCTATCCTTGCAGAGTTACCCTGTGTTGGGGCATCTGAGGGCTGAGAACAACCCTGAGGTCAAGAGCAGGGAAGAGAGAAGGTCTGGGGGTTTGGGTTGGGGTGGGTTTTCTTTACGTAAACAGCACTTCAAATTCTGCAGTGCAAGGGGTCTGACGTGAAAAGGCTGACAGAGGAGGAGCACAGAGAATTATGAGGAGTGAAACACGACTAATGCTGTTGCAGGGGGTGGTAATGAGAGTCCATTTGATTAGCAGTGAATTGTGGAGGGCATGAGTGGAAAACAAGTGAGGCAGACTGCTGTCTTGCCCCATGATGAAAAAGAAGGTAGAACCATAAAGTAATTAACATAGATGTCTCTTAAATCAGTAATATTTAGTGTTCAGAATTAATAGTTTTGAACTGAATAGGGACAGATTCCCATCTCCTCTTCTTACAAATCCAGGATGCCTGTGCACTCATGCAGCGAGTAGTTTCCAATTTGCTCTCAATCTCACATCTACACTAAACTAATATTAGGACCCATTTCCCTGTGATATTTTGGCTGTTTTGCCCTTTCCAGTTCTGTTTTTAGTTTACGCTCAAGCAGCAGTGAAAATGCTGAAAAGATGATGGAACTGGATGCTGGGTGCCATTTCACTTCCTTTCATTTATATTCTACCTTCCACTGAAGAGCAATAGCCAATCAGACAAGTACAACTGACAGCAAAATTTCATCAAGTATATCTATTCTGCAGCTGGTGAGGGAGCAGATGGAAGGATGCTGGGGGAGAATTTAATGTCCTATATACCTGGTGCATCCAGATAGCTCAGGAGGACTGCAGCAGACTTCAAGGAGGATTGTAACAGGTCCTGCCGATAGAGGAAATTAATGGCTTTTGATCTGGGGCTTTGAGTGGAGTAGAGCAAAGCAAAACAGGAGTTGAGGAAGATCCTCCATTAAAAAAACAAAAACACAATTATTGCTCTGTAGAAGAAGGCTCAAATTAACATCTCAGCCATACCAGTCCCAGGGAAACTTTAATAATATACTGTGTATGTATTTTTTATAATAATCACAAGCATTTTAACATAGTGCCTGCTGCTTGCAATTCTTCTGAAAGAGATGTTGTGCCACTGTAGCTGTGCATGATATGCACCAGCAAACTGAAAAATAGAGAGTGCACAGGATTCTTCAGCTTGCTAGTATTTATCCATTGGAAAGAAGAGAAAAACATTTTGTTATGGACTGATACAGCAGAAGAAGTTAGAAAGGGAGGACAAGGGTCACTGGGGAGGTGAAATCCCTTCCACAGGAGAAAAGATTTAGAAAATTAGATGGCTGAGGAGGACTATGAGATATCTGTGAAATCCTGACTAGGGGATGTTTCACCATTTCTCCGAGTGCAATAGCTGTGCGGAGGAAGGCAGCCAGTTGGAAGGCTTAAGGTCTAAAGATCTACATCTAATCAAAGGAAGTACTTCTTCACACAGTGTGTAATTAAATTGCCACCCTAGGAAAAAGCAAAGGTAAAAATAGGTTCAAAGAGAACTTGATCAAATTCACAGGAAGAGCCATTACACATCTCATATTTGGCTTAGGAAGTCCCTGAACAACAGAATACTAAATTGGGAATGTCTATTGGGATTGTCTAGTGCTTAGTTCACACACTTTATTCTTTACACACACTCTTTTATACTTTTCCTAAGTATCTGCTATGGGCAGATATCTGGCAGAGAAGGCTATCATACTAGCACTAGAGATTAGAAAGACACTAGCCTTAGGCTGACATTATAGTAAAAATCTATCGGTCCAATCCATATTAGGTTTTTTAGAAATTGCTTTAATTTGACCACCAAGCTTATCTGCACTAAAATACACACACACACATACACACACACACACAGAGAAAACCACATGTGTGCCCACCTAGGCACATGCTAACTGAGGATTTCTTTTTAGTCATTTAGTCAGGGTTCACTGAGAGCCAAGGCATTAGTACACAGTGTACTTTTCCACACCTTCCATAGCACTGGTGAGAAAAGCAAATGCCTTAGTCCAGGCTTGCTCTTCTTCATGTCCCTGCCTCCATGTCACAGCCACCTTCTGCTTTCTTCAGTGCCCTAGACTCTGACACTCTTCTGTTTCAGGTGACCACTTGTGTTTTCAGTTAACACCCTGGCTTTTCAGTGTATGCCAAAACCCAAATCTGAAAGCATCAAAGTCTGCTTGACAGGAGGATGTATTGCTGGAGGCTCTGCATTTCAAGTCTTTCAGGAGTGTACTCTTACTGGGTTCAGTATGAGCTAGTACCACCAAAGCCAAACTCTGCTTAACAAATGAAATAGAATGACCTACTTTTTTTGCCTTTGTTTTATCTATATAATAGTATGCTACAGGTTTGCATGACAGTTTCTTGGCATTGGATTATGTAACTTATCTGTCTTCAAAAGAAAAACAACTTGGCAATAGAATATAGCATCAGTTCAAAATTAAAAAAATACTTCCAAGGAAATGTATTTTGAAAAAAATGGAAATGCAGGAAGGCACTATCTGCCTGCCTCTAACTCATCTATATAAAATGCTTAATAGATGGTAATTTTAGTCTCTAACACAGCTTCCTCACTCACTTCCAGGATGTTTCACTCTTAAAAAGTACCATTTGTGTCCCACATGAACCTTTTTTGCTTTGCTCTCAGTTAAAACTCCATACTAGAGGAGAGCTGTTGAAGCTAATGATCAAGTTTTTGCTACTTCTACCATATAAAACATTCAAAAGTCTACCTAAAAAAAAGGAAGAAGTTCAACAGAGAGGTTTGCTTCTTCTTCTGCTTTCAAGCTTGGCCCTTTTGTACTCAGTTATGCCCTGCAGGCACAAGGTGTAATAATTACAGCTTCAGAGAACTGCAGCAGATATCTGGCCTAGGGTGCAGAAAGCCATGAAACCTCAGACTGGATAAACCAGTATGGAGAACAACAGAATGATGTGTTTTGAACAATAACAAGGTCACTTGTTGGCATTCAATTCTCAGCTTCTAAGTCTTTGGCTTTCTTTTTCAAAACATGTTTGCAATTCAGCTTAGATAACTTGACTCATTCCTGAAAAAAAACCCAAATCCAAAACCCCAGAAAAGATCTGGATTTCAAAACAATTGATGCATGGTCAATCTCACAGGTATTTAGGTTAAATCCAGCCTTACTTTACCCACTGGCTGTCCTCCTTCTTGGTGGTAGGCTTCTCTGCTAAGGTTGCAACTGCTGTCAGCAGAACAGAGCAAACTGCAGAAGGAGTTAGCAGATATGGTACCATGTTTCTAATGGCAGGAACAATATTCCTGCTCCAACCGCATTTCTTGCAGCAGCTCATCTTTGTTCATCACATTGTTTTAAGCTGGTTGGTTTATTTGTTGTTTTTTCCAACTCTTGGCCTTTGCATTGCAGAGTAGAGATGCTGGCTGGATCTCTCAGCCTCCCTCGAGGGCTCAGTCTGGGCAGGGAGGCTGTTGCCAATCAGCAGGGTGTGAACAGAAATTTATGGCCAATTCTGCCAAGGCCAGCCTTGCAGCAGCTCACCAGCTGGCTGGGAGAGCCACCAGGGTTGTAGGCATTCCCTTGGCTCACAGGTAGCTGTGGCCAGAGAAGGAGACTGGCCCTGTCAGAGCCAGGGCCTGCTTTGCCTTTTGCTGACCAGAGCAGCAGTTCCTCCTACAAGCATGCACGGGGTGGGAGGGGATGTGGGGAATGAGTCCCACCAGGTTGGGACTGGCCAAAAGGTCTCGTGTGGGTTGCAAAGGACATTTAAAGGTCATCTAATCCAACCTCCCTGCAATGAGCAGGGACATCTTCAACTAGATCAGGTTGCTCCAAGCCCTGTTCAGCCTGATCGGGAATGTTTCCAGGAATGGGACACCTACGACCTTCAGAAATTCTCACTGGAATGGCTTCCACCATGGAGAGCACAGATAGCCAGAAAATGCTGCTGAGAAAAGCCATGCAAGTAGTCTACAGAATCACAGAATATTCTTAGTTGGAAGGGACCCAAAAGGATCATCAAGTTCAACTCTTAGCCCTGCACAGGACATCCCCCAAATGTCACATCATGTACTTCTTGCTTAGCTTACCCAAAATACAGACTTGAAAGTTCTAAGAGCAGTGTTGAGAAGTTTGAGTTAGTTTGTAGGACCGGCCTATTGTATAAATAGGACACTAAAATTTTGAGTATTTTTTGTTGGACAGTAAGTAACCAAACCCAAAAACCTACAGGAAAAAACATAAAAATATGAGTTTATATAGTAACAAAATCCAAAGATGTGAGTTTGGTTTTTTTTCCCCTGGAAGAGACAGCACAGGGTTTTTGTTTGATTGTTTGCTTTATGTTACCATATTTTATTTTTAATTTTATTATTATTTCAATTGATTCCACTTTATACCATATCAAGAGGTGTGCTGTGGTAGGATGTACTTTGTGTACCAAGATCTTGTGGATTCTTGTATATCAAGATCTACATATCTTATGTATATTGTATGATATTGTATATCCTCAGTGCTCCAGAAACCAGAGAAGAGGGAGATGGACCATGTGTCCACTGCATTCTCCTATGGCAGTGTTCTTACTCCAGAAACTACCGCTGTTTCAGTATTCAAAAGTTATTGTGATGGGAAATCAGGTACAATCCCCAGCTGATGGTACATCTAGAACAATGAGAGAGACCATTTTGGAGGTGAGGGTGTAATAGGAGGAGATCTTGGGGCAGGCAAGATAAATTGCAAGGGAGACTAAAACTGATTACAGAGCCATGGGACCGAAAACCCGTTGCTCACGAAGAATGCATGCTAATTGTTTTTGGCAGAATAAATTACTTATTTTTTTCCTGCTTCAGTAGAACTGGTTGATTTCTAACAGCTCAATTATCTTCTGTAAGTGAGGAGGGTGGTCTCTTGAGGTCAAGAAGAAGTTACAGGTAGAAAGAATGGACAATCAGAAATGGACAGAAATTGAAGAGCCCTGAGATTGCATGGATGAGTACACTTTTCAAAACTGCCCTGTAAGGAAGAAGGGAAGGAGATTTTTGTTAGGGTTTTGTCAGCATCATGGGGAAGGTCAGGTGAGAGATAAAAGATTAACAGCAGTAAGATCATGAGGCTGAAAGAAATGCATACCAATTTCTCTCCAAGAGGAAGACTGGGCAGAGTTACTCTATAAATGCTAGAAATCACGGAGCTGCAGGTAGGGAATGGGTATGAAAAATATTACTGAGAACCAGCAGCATAAAGAACTGAGGATAAGATAAATAGCAGCAATGGATCCAGTTGTAATGTGGTCAGGTAGCAGGAAACACATTTTTCCTTTGAGCAGTACAAGAGGAGGAGGCAGACTGAGGCATTTGTCTTGGCAGGAGGCCCACGATACAGAAAGTGAAGGGCCAATGAAAGATCTGAGGTGAGTGGAAGACTGAAGAGAGAGAGCTGTCCTGTGAAGATGCTCTGTTTTTGAATTACTTAGATCAAGAAATGGAGGCAAAATGTTTTGCTTACCTGGTCCAAACACAGAAGATGGAATATTTAAAAGGAGGTAAGGCTCCCTAGTGTGAGAATGACAATCGTATGAGGTGAGGGAAAGGGGAAGGAACGAGCAGGAAGCCAAGAAGAAGACTGAAAGTTGTGGTAGGCTTTTGGTGCATTAGGCAAAGAGCTTTCTTGTTTTGTAACAGTGTAATTATTAGTTTAAACTGTCAAGAAAACATGATCAATTTACTGTATTTATCCTTCCTGCTGTGTCATTCTTCTCATTTTACATTTATTTAGTATTTCTGGAGCTTGGGATATTTTAAAAAAACATTAATTTCTCAAAGATTCAGCTAAAAAGGGCTTTTCTTAGGTTTTGCAGATGTTATGGTGCAGGGACAGTGAAGAATGTACTGTATTTACAATTCTATTCCTGTAACAGATAATCAATACATTGTGCTCTGCTGTGTTAGTTAAAAAAAAAGAGTATGAGTGCCCAACTGTGATGATAAGCCCTTTGTGTCTTGAGTGCACTCATTTTCTAAGGATTAGGGGCTGTCCTTTATCAGCCAGTTCACTTCTAAAAGTCCATGATAGATTGCTGCTTGCCCGTCTGCTCCAAACAGCAGCAACCTCAACTTTATCAGCCATGGAAACCCCTAAACACAGCTGTCAGTAAGTAATGCAGAAATATTGCTTTCTCAGGACAGACTCTCACAGGCAAATCTTACCTTCTTCTCTGGAGCAATAAAATCTGCAGTGGAAAGAGGACTTTGGAAGTAAGGTATTTACAAACAGCCATTTATTTCATTGCAGGGAGGGGGAGGGTTGGGCTTTTGGGGTAGTTATTTCCTTTGTGCCCAGGCTGAAGTGAAATGGTCCTTCAGCATCCATTCTAATGTGCTCATTTATCTAGTGCTGGAAGAGCTGCGGGTAAATGGGGCTAAGGTCTAACACATAAAGAAATGTCTGCCAACAAGAGATGTTTTAGCAGGTTAATGAGGAACTTGGTAACAGCCTAGCAGGGTCATTGCAAAATCACATTTCTTTTTGCTGAAATCACTTTAGCCTTTTAAAACCATAGGAAAATGCTCTGCTACTTTACAGGGAGATTTGGTTGAACTGAAAATGGTGTAGATAATATGCTATTTTTGAGTATTTTTAGCAGGTGCAGGAAAAAAACGTTGTGAAAATGGACATCTCCACTGGCTCCTGCAGTCAGCAGGCCAGAGAAGGGGAGAGTGCCTGAATTTTGTCAGCTCAGATTTGCTGCACCCAGGTTTTCTCTGGAGAAATTACAAGGCTAACTTCCCTCACTGACAAGCATACTGCTTTGCCTACTACACAGGAGGGTACTGAGAGTTCTCAAAAAAGTATCTTCAGCATCCAAAAGTCACACTGTGCCCAAGTGGCCTGAGAAAAGAGAAGCAAGACTTGTGTGGGTGCTTGGAGTCACAGCAATGCTGGGCAGGCCTGCACACTCAGAGGCAAGAAGAGAGTCTGGCTTTTCTTCAGCCACTGAGTCCAGTTTTGGGAAGGAAATAAGATTTGCAGTTGTGGTCAAACACTCAAAAATTTTACGTGTCTCCCAAGTGCTATGCACAAGTATGGTACCCTGCAGTGTAACTGCAAATCTGTCATCAGAAAGAAACATAACCTTTAAAGACAGCTGCTCCAGTTTATCTTTTCTTTTAATTTTTTATTCTTGGAGGGTATTTGTTTACTAACTCTGGATATATGGCAGATTGTAGGGAGAACAGAGTTTGACAGGCTTGCTTTGTAAGCGCAACAATTTTTTTTGCAAGGGAGCAATTGTAATGTAGAGATGTCTGGGTGAGATACCTGAGTAAAAGCATTCAGTTTGGCTCTGCCACTGCACTGCTACATGTGGCTGAAATTATTCTGCTGAAAAACAAGGTAAACTTTTCCTCATCGGTTCTGTGCTGCTGCAGCCATTCCAAGACTAATACTCTAGCTGCAATACTGTACGCTGTTTCAGTAGATTTTCTGGGGAAGAAGAGATTATTGAAAGTATATGAGCCCTCAAAATGTGTGGGACTTCTCTTCCATTTCTCTCACTGGTCCTGAAAAATCCTCTCTGAAAAACAAGAGCTACAACATTTATAAGACTCAGCTGGGTGATCTAACAATTCATCCAGGAAGCAGGTTTATGTGGTCATGTGTGCAGGAACTAGGGCTCTTAAAAACTAGTTGTGGCGTAATTATTTACTTTAGAAAAACAGTGTTAACTTTTACTCACCACTTCTCCTCCTCTACTTGAACTCCTATGGACTGGAACTTACTGGTTGCTTTATTGTCACCTGGTATGGTGGATTCTTCAGCACCATCAACCTTAAAAAACCCAAAACATGACAGGTAATTAGAATGTATTTTAACACAGGTATCACCTGGCTGCTTGCAGTTTCTATGCACCTTAACTACTAAGTGTCTGCACATAGAGCTTGTACCATGAGCTCCTTCATCTAATCAGTTTCTCTGTGGTGTGCTCATTTCTGATGTTATTAGTATGATATTCATTAGTCTTAATCTATAAAGCATTTCTGGTAAGACAATATTCAGCCTGCAACATGCAGATGGATTTTATCTGGTATTCTATGGAGGCTGGATGCTCACATTTGTCAAAGCACATCTCTGAGCAGCTGTAACTCCAGGAATTGTGTCACCATTTGTCTGACTTTACCTTCTATCTGTACGTGCATGCATATGTGAACTCATATCAAAATCACTTGTTTATTTTGTTTAAATGTTAGTGCCTCAAATCAGAGCACTGCAGAGAAAAGATTTAAAGAAAGCAGATATGAGTCTTAGATGCATTTTCTTTACAGCTTCATCTTGCAAACAGGTGGTCCCCAGGAGCACAGGCTGGACCTTAATACCACATCTTCATCTCCATGAGGAGATTTGTGCCAATGATATAAAGTTAAAATTTAATCACAGATGTGTCTTCGAACAAAATCACAATATTCTGGGTCAAATCAGTGTAGTTGTTAATTCCCAATGCTATATATAATATGGGTAGTCCTACAAGAAAAACATTTTCCAGCAGACAGAATCTTTGGGCCATACAGTGTCATGAAGTGACCTGTAGCCTCAAACTGACCATGGGTACGCAAAGTATCCAGCTGTAATCACTGTTCCACCAGCAGCTTCTTGTTGAGAGCCACTTGACCAGCCTGTGCAGGAAATGTGCTCGGTGAGGGATGGGAGTTAGAGAAGCTGTTCTGTGAGGTGAGGTAGTTCCTTGATACTGGGGGTTCTGGGGAGATAAATACACCTTAAACCCCATAGCTGACAGAGTGAAGCAACCTTTTGATGGAAGGGTTTTTCTTTGCTTAACTTTGCTTGTTTGCTCAGCAGATTTACAGTGAAGGCTTGTAGTGCCCTAAGAGTGACTGAGGGGTGTAGAGGACACACATGGAGGTTCATCAGAACTGCACACTAGGTTTATTTGGCAGAGGAGGAAGAAAACCAGGAATATACCTGTGGCTAATGCAGCTTGCCCTGCTCTACAGAGATGGGTTGAATTATCATTAAGGTGATAGACTTAGTCTGAGTTCAGACTAAGCCTGAACTATCCCTTTACTCAGTGGAGAGAGAGACTGACTCTATACTGCCAGTCAGAGGACTGACAGTGCACCTACTTCCTTTAGGGCAGTTGTTTGTAAGAGAAGTAATTTCTGGCATCAACACCTATCTTAAGGCATTTCTACTCCCACACTACCCCTTCAGCTGTACCAGCATGACTGCTTCTGCAACGATGCTGCAAAAAATGGATTAGACAGCAGACTAGTGAAGTAACTTTCTTTTATCTGTGAAGCCTATCTGACTCTAAAAATCTCATTGATGTGCACAGCTGTGAGGGTGGCACCATGCACAGACAGGAATCCTGAAAGGCTGTACTGCTGCTGAAGGTTTCTCTTCATGTCAACCCAGCTTCAGGTGGTTTGTACCACATCTTCATGGGTTTATACACAAATCCTGCCTTGGCAGATCCTCATGTACCACCATTCCCAGATTTCATTATTATTTCATGTGATTATACTGGTCATCTGTAAACTTCAAAGTTTAAGAGGGAGATTGTCAAAGGCTTGAAGAGCATTTGTAGCTCTTTTTTCCTCAGATCTCAGGAAACTGAGGCTCTATACCTTTCAAAAGCAGTATTTGTTACTTGCAACACTGCCTTAAGGAGAGATAGCAGGGAGATGGTCTTTCAAGAACCATGATTCCCATTACCATTGCTCATTTTGGCTTCTGCAAACATGGAAATTATTTCCTTGTACCCCTTATTTTGCAGGGTCTTTGCTAAGAAGTCTTGGTTTCTTGGATTGGTGAAATAAAGGATTACAATAATATAATGGCATTTTAAAGTTGTCTGGGAATGGGAATACATAACAGGTGTTTTCCTCTATCCCTGTTCCATCTGGATTTTTCTCCTGTGTTTAATACTGAACATCAGCCCTTCTTTCAGAATATACCTAAAACAAACAACTGTGAAACAGTAAATGTCTACAACAAAGGCAGTGAACTGAACCCACAGGCAATAGTTATTAATGCCCTTCCAAGAAGTAAGAGAAAAGTCACAGCTTCTCCAGCAGCTACCCTGGGGATGGCATACTTCAGCACAGTACCTCTCATCTATCTCATCAGGCTGATATAGAGATTTTGTGGTAAATTCTTAGACTTTTCTAATCAGATAAGCCTGTCCAGACACACAGTGCTGTGCTTACAACCACCTTCTGAAAGAAAAAAAATTGTGTCTTCCTGTGAAGGCTGATAAGCTGTGGACTGCTATTCTATTTGCTCGAGATTCATCTCCTGTCAAAACCTGTGTTAATTCTCAGTTGATTTTAAGTTCAAGTACTTTGTTACAAAAGCCAATCCTGCAAGCAGATAGTCGGGAGTCCTATGCACATCATTTTTTTAAGGGGGAGTAGGGGGCTGGGAAAGATTAATTAAGAAAGCAGATTACACAAGTCCAGTTTATTTACTTTTGTCCTTTCTGTAAACAGAAATGAACTTGGGCAAGGTTGGTTTTCTTGTTTCATTCTACGAGAGGTAACAAAATATAATTTTCTTTAACAAGGGCAAATCAGAAGGAACTTATCTTCTGCTCTTGAGGCTGAGATAGGAACAATGCTGCCTCATTCAAGTGGCTACCAGTCATTATGAAATGCATGAATAAGCAGCGACAATTAATTCAGTGAGGCTGGATGGAAATTTTTTTTTGGTGATAGTGTAATGTAAATCATTGTTTTACACATTCCCTTTCAATGATTTAATTCATGCCTTTCTGACCCCCGCTGTGTTATGATTCATAGATTAGTGCTCATGTGTGTAATTTAACAGAGCTGAATAACAAGCAGCACAGAGACTCAAACAAATCCTTGCATCTGATGTATTTATGATAAATTAGGAAAACATCATTAGTACCATGCGGAATGATTATGTTGATGCAAGTTCTACATAGGTACCTGTCAGGACAAGAAGAAAAATACACAAAACATTGTATAATGAGCAATAAAACAGATGTTTTCTGTTTTATCCAAAACACTGGCAAGCATATATTCCATGTCATGTACTGTACCTGTATTCCAATAGATAAGCATCTGTTTTTCTTGAAGAGATCCTTCTTCCTGTCTTCTACTGCAACAGTGGCAATGGTTGTAGTGGTGGTGACAGTGGCAGTATTGTTCCCTACATGCTGGCTTGCAGGGCCATGGATCTGTGCATTGGCAGCTTCAATAGCAGCTGTCAGTGCCTTCATACTGTCCAGGCTTTCTGTGGAGTTGCTAAGTCCAGACTGACTGATGATATCTCCCCTCTGTCCATGGCCATCCATGTATGCATCCTGGGCAGACTCCGTGCTGCTCTGGGCTGTGATGGAAATAAAGGGTTTGGTGGTAGTTCTCGGTGGGACTGGAGGCGGTGTCTTCTTGTAGGTGGTAATGCAGGATGACACTGGAAAAAACATAGCAGAGTTCTTGTTTTATTGATGCTGCAGGGAAAATGGATAAAAATGTGATATCAAAGCATCAGTAAGCATGGACAGAGCAGAGGGGAGGAGGAGGCTGTTAGCCAAAGAGCCCCCGAAAGTCAATCTAAGTGCCATAGTAAAGCTTTGCTTATCAGCATCTTCTATTCCACCTATGTGAGTGGCAGAATTGCAAGTAGAGCAAATAGGGAGAGAAAGTATCTATTTGCCAAGTTCCTCCTTTATCTTTTTAGGATTGTTTTCCTCAATATATTTTCTATTAACTGTTCTAAGTCCCATGGGAACAAGTCCTTCCACCAAAACGTTTGTTCTGCTTATGGCTCTCAAACAAGATTCACAAAGATGATAAGTCTCCAACCACCTATCCCAGCTAAACTGTACTTTAAGTAGTTTTATTGCAATTGTTTCCTGTCTCTCTACCCTGTCCTACTTTATGCAGAATTTCAAACCACATTTTTCTGATGAGAGTCTCAAATAATCCTTTATCAAAGTTTGTTAACACTCACCATGCTTGGACTTGTGTATTTCTTTCTATAAAATGTCTCCCTTGTTGCACAAACTTCTTAAATATTTTGAAATGCTTTGTAAGTTGTTGAGGATGTATTTAAAAGAACATTTTGCCATGCCTAATTTCTCACCATAAATATAACATCATTTCATTCTGGAAAAAAAAATCACTTGATTTTACACACAGCGAGTTAGTGTTATGAAGTCAATGGCTAAAATCTGTCTGTCAGTGCTAAAGTGTAAGTATAAATGTTTGCAGTAACAAAGACTGTAATAAAAGTTCATATTTTGAGGGCCACACTTTCTTTGTAAGTGCTGCTGTGTGGAGTTATAAACTTAGCTTGAGGTTCCCAGGTAAAAGCTATTCTTCTGTATACACAGAATTACATACAGAAAGCACTACATGGAGATTAAAACATCTTCCTTTAAGGGTTAGTTGGCAGCTCTGCATTACTGAAGTCCTGGAATGCTTTCAAGGGAGGAAAGAAAGTCCATTAAGAACAAAAAACAATCATGATATGCTCTATTTTTTAACAAAATAAATGCAGGCATGAACCTGTGCAAAGTTCAGACACAAACTTGTTAACATAAATTCTTATTAACAGTAATCATATGGCAAGAAATGATTCATCAGATCATTTTAATTGGCAGACGTCTATGCCACCCACATAAAAGGTAACTCTACTACAGCTGTTCTGCTCTCTGTATCTGCTTGTTGAGCCAGAAGCCATTATAGTATTAATTTGACTCCAGCTCACATCCATATGCCTCATATCTCCCCATAGCTGTAGGAATAGTTACAGTGTAGAAGGTGTTTCCAGGGCATGAAATCACACGGGATTTTTTTAAAGGACTCTAGTATAAGTTTCTGATAACATGTCTGAACCCATGTTAAACATGTTGAGTGCTAATGGAAAAAGAGAGTGTTTCAGGTAGTGAGGGTTTTGAAACTATGATTCACTTCTGAAGAATCAAACTGAAACCATGGCATCTCTGAGAGAAGAGATGGCTAAAAATGGACTTGTCAAATTTTAACTCTGGGGAAGTGAATCGTTAATAGGGTTAAAGGTGTTTTATGAAGTGCTTATGACAAGGTTGATACCGGGAGCTAACAGAAAAGATGACAGTTGTACAAAGGGGATTATAAATATTGTGCTGTTTTTCATTGGTTTTGATGCTGTCAAAAAGCATTTGTTGTGACAGCACATGCAGGTAAATCAGCTGCTGCTGCTGCAGAACAGTCATGTACTCCAGGACTCATGGAGAACTGTGCAGGCTGTTGCTTGAGTCAGGACACCCCAGAAACACTCTGGGTGGTTCATGGTCAGGAGAGCGTTCTCCGAGTCGTGGAAATGCAAACTGCAATTCAGCACAGAGGAATTCAAAGCACACACATGCAGATATCCAGGTAATGCTTTGGGAAGTTGGTGCCAAACTTGTCTAATAGAGGTTCATGAGCAATGCTACTTTGCAATTCAGCAAAGTATAAATTTTACCATTTAAAATATGCTAGAAAACATCACTGGGGAACTTCTGGGGACATGTCAGCACCTTCAGTACATCCCAGCACAGCACATAAGTATCATTTTTCTCACATAGCAGAGAGGGAAATGGTAATGAAATGCTTGAAAAGGCATTTTAGGTAGGAGAGAGAGCATCAGAACCAAAGAGGAAGCCTTAACAAGATGGGTCCCCACATCACTGGGCATCCTGCACTAGAAAGAAAGTCAATAGCAACTGTCTATTGACAGCTACCATGCTCTCTGGACACAGCAGTACAAATACAGAACCGCCTGATTAAGCTTTCATTCTGTTGGTAAATGTACTCAATGAGGAGTATAATCCACACCGCAATGAAAGATGTTTGCACTCAGCTAATTAAATCTGAAGTTATTCTTAAGAGGGGGAGAGAATTGACAAGTCATATGGTGAAATTGTAAAGAGAAATAGCAAAACGTTCTTTTAGCAAGTCAAAACAAATCCTCGGTTTCCCTGGAGTCACGCAGCACATACTGTACAGCTCCAGAGAAGCAGAGTGTGCAAGTCATAAAAGAACCCCAGGCACTTCATTACTGGAAATGATGTAAGCTCCTGCCGCTCCTCTGCAGAAACGACACCAAAACAATGCCGGGGCCGCCGCCGCTGTCGGAGGCAGCTGCTCTCAATGCCGGAGCTGGCCGAGCCCTCCAAGCCGCTGAGGCTCAACAATGAAAGCCTTTCTGGGCAGCAGCTCTTCGTGTGCCACCAGTACCTGGCAACCTGTGTCAGGGCAACCTGAAGGATCTGCGGCTCTTCAAGTGGCCACGGTATTTTGAATGCTAAGCTGCTCGAAAAGCAAAACGAGTCCTTCCCCAAGAAAATTGTCAAAACGCTGGTGCTCTCCTTGTCCAGGCAGGAGAGGCTGAGCATCTGGGGAGAGCACATCCATGCAGGCAAAGGAGGAAAGTCATCTCTCCAGCTCTCCTGTGGCACAGACTGCCCGGCAGGAGGACTCAGAGGCAGAACGCTACAGGATCACGGGACACATGAAAAATTTGGAGAAATCCTCACTTCACACACAGGGACCTTTCAAACTATGAAAGCTAGTTTAACTCACATAAGGAAGTGAATTTAAAGGGCTGTATAAATACCCTGATAAATATGTTCTTGGACACAGATCAAGGAGTGAAGTTCTGCACGGAAACTGATCTGACTGGAGAGTCAAGTCAAAGTAGTCTCGTGAATCATTAAATTGTTTAGATACAGAGTTAATCAGAAATCTCTTGTTCAGAATAGTAAAAGAATCCTCAGTTTGACAAAACAGACTACTTTCCACAGGTTTTTCCAGAGAGCACATGGTGCTGAAGCAGGTACACATTCCTCTCCTAGGGCATATGCGAGGTTTAATCCAGAAACTAGTTAAGTCATGCACAAGAATCCTCAGACAGCCAAAGCACTTTGAATCAGGCTCACTGTTTCCAATGCATCAGTCCTCCAAGTCATGCTCTCCTTTTCCTTTTGATCTTTACCCTATTTCTGTGGACTGCCATCAGGTTACAGTTTAATCCCAAATACCTAGTGAAAAAAACACACTCTCCTGATTTTTAAAAAAAAAAAAAAAAAAAAAAAAAAAGCACCAAGGTTTTTGTCTTCCTAGCCAGTATTTCCAAACAACTAGCTCATGAGACAGGAATTTGGAACAGGGAGTGTCAACCACCCAGTTCAGAAGGAAGTCTAATGATAAAAAAAAATAATCCCAGATTGCATAATAATAAAGGCTTGAATTTGAATGTTTCATTGTAAGAGTACTTCAGTTGTTTAAACATGCTCACTAGGGGAGATGAGCCCTCAGGAACAAACATCAGCATGCAAACACAAATTTTTAACTGAGTGAATGGGTGCTCAGGAGAACCCCAAGGCAGATTAATATTTGTGAAGGGATCAAATTCATGCAGTGCTTTGAACAGTTCAAGTGATGAGACACATCAGTAATATCTTTCTAATTTGGTAGTCTTATATAAACCTGATTAACAAGAATACACAAACGTGCAAATTGAAAATTAAGTAATATAATAGTGTTTCTTCAGAGAAAAAGCATGAAATCCACAGTTTGAAAGGAACAACAAAGGACACAACTTTCTCAGCACAAGAAAGATGTGGACCTGTTGGATTGGGTCCAGAGGAAGTCCATGAAGATGATCAATTGGTTGCAACACCTCTCCTGTGAAGACAGGCTCAGACAGCTGGGGATGCTTAGCCTGGAGAAGGCTCCACAAAGGCCTCACTGTCGCCTTCCAGTATCTTAGGAAGGAGGGAGAGGGATTTTTTTATATGAGCAGATAGTGACAGGACAAGGGTAGTGGTTTTAAACAGAAAGAGGGCAGGGTTAAATTAGATGCTAAACAGAAATTTGCTCGAAGGGTGGTCAGGCACTGGAGGGTGCCCAGAGAACTTATGGATGCACCACTCCTGGAAGTGCTCAAGGCCAGGTTGGATACTGAATAAGCGGGTCCAGTGGGTGGTGTCCCTGCCCATGGCACAGGGATTGGAAGGAGATGATCTTTAAGATTGCTTTCAACCCAAACCGTTCTATGAGTCAACGATTCTAACTTGTACACAGCCAAGTATAAGGATAAAAAGCAGGAGTTCTTCCATGCTGCACAGATGGACCTCAGTCTTGTGATTTACTGTCTGTTAAAGGGGCGCATTTACAGTGCTGCCCTTGCACCTCACACAGCTGCCACACGAAACGCAGATATAGGCACATCTCAGCAGACCTAAGCTTCAGTGCTGCAGCAGCCTCTGGGCTTAGAGGTGCACTGCTTGATTTGCCTTGTTAGACTCAAACCATATGCTTACTTCCTTATTTTTTTGAGTTTTGGGGGGAATGCTTGAAAGTAGGGTTTCAGATCCTGTATTGTTATTTTTACATGCAAAAAAATGGTATGAAAACAGAGCATGCATTATCTTAATAAAAAAC